TTATTTCCATTAAAGGGAACAGTGATGTCCAGCTTGCCAAATTAAATTTGTGGTAGAATAGTAGCCATTTAACAACATGCTTCTCAGCTTCCATCCTGTATTCTTCTTTTACGGAGCCTCCAGAGAATTTAAAAGGTGCCTCTTCAGAGGTAGATTAACAATAAAACTGTTGAAGCTTGAGTTTCAGAGCCTCTCATTTGGATGGGCGCCGTCTAAGATGCTATAACCCAATTACAGACTTGCAATTTTTGTTTTTTAAAGAAGTGCCCCCTCCTCCAGTTTTATAGGCTTAAAGCCCACAAAATCCAGATGTGCCTCTGGATATTTCTTCCATCTAAAACCCTTGTTTAATTACTGCTGCTCTGCTGGAAAGCCAGCGTGGGGTCTGCTGCTAAGTGCAAAGTTATTTATGACAGGCTTTTTTCCTTGCAGAGCCTCTGCTCTGGAGTGCCAAGCTACCACACTGCTTACAGAGGAAATGGGCTGTGGGTGTCTCTAGGCGACAGTCCTCGTTTGCTTTGTTGGCTTTTGCACTACGTTCTATTGGCGCATAGTGCTTGCTTAGCTCTGGGTACTTAGAAAAACATGTTAACCAAATCATGGAACCACGGATCCTAGTTGTGCACTTAAAATTCTGCATGGCCTTTTGTGCTCCACACAGAGCCATAGATAAAAGCTCCTGTTTTCACCGCAGAAACTAAAATGCCACTTGTAGAGTTGAAGATGAATCTTCGAAAGATGAGCAGCTCCCTGTACTCATCAGGGCTTCGGACTCTTAGTAGGAATTCATTGGGAAGCTAAGAGAACTTTGATTAAAAATTAAATCAGAACATATTCTCTGTTGTTTAACTGCAAGATATTAGTGAAAAAAATTACTCATCAACATTAATCTATTTTATATTATTTTATTTTCCCTAGAAGTTATTAATAACTCAGAGGATTATGAGTGTATCCGAGCAAAATATCAGCAAAACCCGCTGCTAAGATTTCTTTCTTTAAAAATAAACAAATAAATACATCTTATTTTTCTACTTCTTATCACTTCTCTTTCTCTTTTTCTTGTTTTCTTTTTAAAAAATAAATGGAATTGATTTTAGTGCTATAAAATGTTATTCACAAAGAAGTTGGTGATTGTTTAGGAACCAATTAATTGAACTTGTTAAACATGGTTGCAGAAATTTCATTTTTCCTAAACTGCCTAGTATTTGAACAGATAACATTTAAATTTTTTCTTTATTCTTTTCTCATACAATACATCCAGATGACAACCTCTCCTCCCCCTAATCCTCCCAGTTCCCCTACCTTCCCTCCCCCAGATTCATGCCCCCTGTTTCTAATCCTCCCAATTCCCCCACCTTCCCTCCCCCCCAGATCCACACCCTCTGTTTCTACCCAGAAAAGAGCAGGCCTGCCAGGAAATGAACATGGCACAACAAGATACCATAAGGCTAGGCACAAACCCTCACAGCAAATCTGGGCAAGGCAACCCAGTAGGTGGAAAGGGGTCCCAAGATCAAGCACCTACCACTGTTAAGAGAACACCCTACCCCCTCCCCCGACAGAAAACACCAAGCCAACAAACATAACATATATGCAGGGCGCCTAGGTCAGACCATGCTGGTTCAGCAGTTGCCCATTCAGTCTGTGAGCTCTAACGAGCTCTGCTTAATTGGTTACCAGCCAGGGCCATGCCATCCTAGTGTCCTCGATACCTCTGGCTCCCACGGTTCCTCCTGCCCTTAGACGTTCCCCTAAGCTCTGAAGGGAGGAACTTGGTGGAGGTCTTCAACATGGCTCTCTCCACCTAATGTTTGGCTGTGGGTCTCTGCATCTGTTTCTATCTTTTTTTCTTTCCCTTTCTGTTTCTCAACCCTTTACTTGGTTCAGAGCAAGGTAATGAATACTGCTTCAAACATTGCAGCTGGCTTCATCTGGTGAGCAGTACAGTATGGCACAGAATTCGGAGTGAGTTTGGAAGTTCTGTGCATGGGTGAGGATGGCTGCATCAGGAGCTACACACAGGGAAGTGCATAGGACAGTTGAGATTATTGGAAACAACAGGGGAACGGACTGCTTAGAGACAGAAAAGACAGTCACAAACTGTGGAAATGGAGAAAATCAGGACGAATGTTTGTGATGTTGGCAGTAAAAGTATTGACATGAACTGAGAACTTTCATTACTTAAAGAGATACAAACACTTTAAAGTTGACAGCCCTGCTAGTATCTCACTTTCCACAGTTTCATTTCCCTATACCAAAGTAAATCTAGAAATGAACAATTCACAAGTTTTAAATTGCTCATCAATTAAATCTAGCACAACAGATTTCATGCCGTAATGTTCTGCACGGGCTGAGACACAATTCCCCTTTGTCCAGGGAATCCACATTGTATGCACTACCTGTTTACTACCTATTTAAAAGCTCTCAGTTGGCTCTCAGGGAGACTGCCCAAGTACTGCCTTTCTTGAGTTCAAGTAGCACTAAATGGTGGCCCAAAAGTGCGAGAATGGTGATGCTGGCAATGCTAACGTGTCAAAGGGAAACCAGTGAGTGTTTTCTTTAAGTGGTACTGCAGAGGTCAGCAATAGTATCATAAGCATGTAACATGACAAACATAGCATACTATGCACATTTTCAGACATGCATCTGGGAGTGTATCCTCTGAGGACCATCAGAAGCAATATCATAGAATTCTAAGATTATCCACTGAAGTTAGCCTCTATGAAGGGAAAGAGACCTTTATAATCAATAAATATCTTATATAACAGGAAACTACTTTAGGTGTGAGAGGGAGTGAACACATATATGATTTTGAGAAAGAGAGAGAGAGAGAGAGAGAGAGAGAGAGAGAGAGGAGTTTGCTACTTACTGAGACACCTTAGCAGCCCAAAGGCAAGTGACTATTTCTAACTGTAGATCATACAGATCATGGAATCCAAATACTATTTTTTTGTAAAAGAAACCAGGACTTTTACCACAGCATGAGGAACTGTATTAAAGGATTGCACCATTAAACGGGTTGAGAACCACTGTCTGAAACAGATACAGGCCAGGCCCCTTGCCTTGGCAATGATACCACCAAGAGTGGCCTGGTTCTTCAGCACATCAACTAACATTAGTAATCAAGAGAAATCTCCACAAACATGTACACAGGCCAACCCAATATGAATAATCTCTCACTGAAAATCTCTTCCCAGGAGATGCTAAATTGAATCAAATTAAAATATAAAGCTAATCATCACAGTTCTCTACAAGAAAAACTACTTACTTGCAACCAATAAGTATGTCAGATTCAAAGATCTTCTTACCCGTTTTGGTTCAAGACAGTACAGAGATGTCAGCTATGCAGCACTGGCTCTGATGCACAAAGGGAATTGTTAGAATAACTGAATGTGCCTGTGAGATGCTCGGTGTGCAAACTGCTTGCCATGCAAGTCTTATGATGATTTGAGTTCAAGCCCCAGAACCCACTGTGAAAGGAGAAAATCGAACCTGAAAGTTGTCCTCGGGCTTCCACACATCCTGTGACATGCATGTGGCCTTACTCAGGCACACACACAAAATACACTCATACCTACATTCATATCTACATCTACAAATACTCAAAAACACATATGTTCACACAAAAATAATAAATTAAAATTTAAAAATAATAACCAAATGGAACTTGAATGCACTAGTAATGTTTTGGTACAGCTTTCCTGATTTTGGAAACTGTGTCTATATACAAACATGTCTTCATAGAAGATACAACTCCTAGTTTTAAAGAGTAAAGAAGATAAAGTTGGCAATGTCCAGGCAACTTACTAGCCCACAAAGCCCTGTCACCACACTGTCATTGCAACTTTTCTGTTAGCTTGAGGTTGTTCAGAACAAAATGAAAATTTCAAACTGCTAAAATCATATTTAACTATTCAAACCCCACAGTGAGGACGTTATGCTCTTCTGGTGGATTATCAGGACTGTCCTGAGAATTCCTGTGGTGTAGTCTGCCATAATGCCTTTCAATGGCTTGAAAATATGTTTATTTATGGCTGCTTTAAGATCTCATTCAATTTCCAAATTGTCCATAGATTGGTATATGACTGTTAAGATCTCTCCTGTGAAGACATTCAGATCATCTCCCCACTCCTAAAATCAAAGAAGAGACGCGGAAGTGACAATAGCATCCTTGACCCAGGATCAGTCCATCAAACTCTGGAGAGATGGGCTGTGGTTTAGAGCATCCCTGCCTTCCCAGAGAACACAGTTCAATTCCCAGCACCCACATGGTGGCTTACCTCTATCTGTCACCCCGGTTCCACAGGATCTGACACCCTCTTCTGACCTCAACAAGCACTGCTTGCAGTGTTGCATAGACATACATGCAGGATAAACATTCGTGCACACACGCAGAAATAACAACAGAAGCAACAACAAAAAACAATAAAAAGACATTGTGGTGCCCCAGCGGCACATTGAACACACTGTGCAGGGTGCTTAATATGGAAACCCTTGGAACAACTGCAGGGGAGCATGGTGGACAGAACCAACGCTCCCCGCTGGTACTTACCAGTTAATGCCTTCCTCTCCTTCCCAGGACATTTTGTTATCCTCTCAGGGACTCACAGAAAGCAACTTTAAAGCTTATGATTCAAATGTTGCATTAGAGTGTGCTCACTGGGGAGCTCAGGGCCACCCCTCACTCTTCAGAAAATCTGGAGGCCTTTGTACTTGTCTATGCCACTTCTTCCTTGGTCCAGCAGGTGGTAGCCTACGCAGGGACAAAGCTCTTCCTTCCCCTTCCCCAAGTGACAAGCAGACTCGTTTGAAAACCGGGAGCACTGTGGCTGAGCACTGCGCCTTCTCTACACGGCACAGGAGAAGGACTTCCTGAGTTGTTCTCTGGGTGGATGTTAGGATAGAAACCATCCAGAGAAGGAGGCCAAAATAATTCCATGTTCATGTGTGTTTATGTGGTATTCTGAACCTCAAGTTTTTGTTTTCTTCATATTTTCCAGAAATTCCTCTGATCTTATATCTCTTTGCCCTGATTTCTGTGACGTGGCTTTGGGGAGGACTGCATATGGCCTACAGACACTTCTGGATGTTGGTTCTCTTTGTCATTTTCAATAGCCTGCAGGTAAGCAAGCCTTCCAAGGCCACACACATCTAACGAATGCAAAACTCAAGTGTCAACATTCAAGAAGTAAGAGTCTACTTACAGATGAGTTTGCGTGCACAGTGACGTACAAAGTCTTAGAAAAATGTGGTGGGGGCTAAATAGCTAACATTTGAAATATGTCTGGAATTCCAACTTACCCATCATGTATGCTTGAAAAGGAAAATATTTACTTGTTTCTTTCAGCAATATTAAGTAACTGCAAAAATATGTTCTTTATGGTTAGTTATAATCAGATAGCAGCCATGTAGGACCAATGCACATAAATGGGCTATAGCTGTGTCTAGACATTAGGTCAATTGAGCAGTTAAATGGATGTTTAAGCAATTTCCACTTAAACCCTAATGTTTAGATATAAGAATATTTTGGTGACTAAAAAATGATTTCATCCTTTCTTGAGTCCAATGGTGGCAATTTTAAATTAATTTTACAAATATATTTGGGTAGTATGACTAAAAGTTATTAGTGATTTTTACTGCTTTTGTTAAATGGGAAAATGTTGCTTCCGAAATTACCAAATGGAACAAATGAATACATTTTCTTATTTTCCAAAGTAAAAAAGAGCCCTTAGACTAAAAAAAAAAAGTCATGAAATTACCAAGAATACTTTTACATAGTTACTATTTTGTGCACCATGTTGTAAATATATATATATATATATATATTTATATATATACACACATAAAATTAGAGTCACACACAAGACCCTTGGGTCAATACCTAGACTTAAAGTAGAAGAAAGAAAGAGGAGGGGGAGACAAAATCTTTAATCTGAATATAGCCTACATGATGGCATTGAATCAAAGTACATTATCTGGTTAGGAAGGGAAAACCATAAAATGACCTTAAAGTTTGGAATCGGTGGAACACGGGCATCTCTGTATAGGACACTGAAGCACATACACTGCCCCAAAGGTCACCGGTACTATCAATACCTAGAGAAGATAGCCATACCTTTGTAGGACTGATGATTGACATGAGTAAACAGTAAGCTACAAGTTATGCAGTGACAGGTGACGTGTAAGCAGAGTGTTATGGGAACAGAGAAAATGGTCGTTTCCATGCCTGTGCCAGCATGCAATCAACGTGACATGCATTGGTGAGCCATTAGGTCAGAGGCCTTGCCTTGGCCACCCTTGGATTCCTAGGTTCTAGCAGAAATAAGATCAGAGTCCACATTGAGAGCCTGCTGTTGTGTGACAAAACTTTTCCTGGGGAGACAAAACACAGTCATCTACTCACCCCAGATAGGCAGGCCAAAACAGACCAAACTGTGAATGCCACCAAACATAGATTGATGAACCAATGACTTTTGTTGGGGTTACTTAAGAATATGGGTGAGGGGTTACTTACAAGAGCAGAAATTACTCAAAGACAGCTGCATCACCAAGACCCTTACTCCAGTCTGGGTGACAGCTCCCAAAGCTGGGAACCTGGACACTGCATGGGCTGCAGACAGCTCAACAGGGTGAAGAGTGTCCTTTCCAGCTGCCTCAGTTGGTCTAAGCCTCTTCCAGACAGTGCAGCTGGCCTCTGCTTCTTCCAGGCAGCAGAGTCTGGTCTCATAGTCTTCTTTTGTCCCTCAGCTTGGTTTCTGGAGTCTTTTCTGCAGCTGTGCTCTGTTTACTGTGTCAGAGAAGGACCTAGTGAATCTGCTCAGTTCCACAGACTTCTTGAAGCTGTTTTCTGGGGTTTAGCTACCTGTTTAAGGAGGTCCCTGCAGGATGGAAAGTTGTGACCTCAGTGCTGTGACCTCAGAGAAGGCTGTCACAACATCTGCACTTGCATTTGATTTGGTGGTTGCGCAATGGTCCAGGAGTGATTCAGATCTTTAAATATTTGCTACAGACCTTTAAAATTGAGAAACATTAAAAACCTGAATTCCTGACTTGTTACAGAGGATGCGTGTATGGTGATGGTTTTCAAGCCACTGTGTAGACAGAATATATAACGTTACATTGTATGTGGTGTGCTTTATTGCCCCTACTTGAATCCATAACACCTCCATGCTTTTAGGACATATGAAGAATGTGTGGCTATCGATGAGCTCTTTCAGGCTGAGAAAACAGTGTTAGCCAAAGTTGTAAAAGAAGAAAGTGATTAACATTGTCTAGATTAAGAAAAGGGTTGAACAGGGGAAGAAAAGTGAAAGAGGAGACAGAAAGGGCAGGGCATCTTGAGTACCAGCTCCCGCACTCTCTCGGGATGGTCACCAGCTGCCTTAGCCAAAATGAAGGCTTGGATTATTTTGGGAGTTTGGATTATTTTGTCTTCATGGATTGTCAGCTTTTTCTCCCTTTGAATGGGGATGGCATGTTCATACACTCATGTTTGCCCTTTCAAAGACTGTCTAGAAATGTTTAGAATGGAATGCTGAAAAGAGCCACTGCGAGCAGGCAGACTGTTGTCATCTGAACTACGGTGTTCTGACAGTGTTCTTCAGGTGTCTGGGCAGTGACAGGCTTTAGGGCTATTGGGGTTTGGTTAGTGGTTACACATGAGAATGAAGAGTACGGGAGAAGAGCATCGCTGAGAAATTCCTGATGGATGGTAAGTAGATGTGAAGATCGTTCCTCACATGAAGACCATGGTTCTGGGGAATACGCAGCAGAGTTGGGGAGCTTTTGGCAACACCGTTAATTACAGCAACCTTTCCGTGACTGGATATGTGGAGAGGCTGGTGAAAGCGATTGCTGAGGAGTGATCAGAGAGCACAGAGGAGAATGAGGCTATGAGTTTGGAATCGCTGTAGAAAAGAGCTTCAACAAGATGCAGTAGCTACTCTGTGGTTGTGAAGAAGCCAATAGGAAGAGAACACACAAGCAATGTGACTTCATGGGGTAGCTTCAGAACTTTCTGTGTATTCAAGGTCTGTCCACTATATGAAGGGGCCTGCCAATAAGCAAATCACTGGACCTCACTCCCGGAGTTGTTCTTACAATATCTAAGTGGGCTCTAAAAATATTCAGTTCTGACAAGTTTCTGAGTGATGCCAAATCAGGGATTTAGGGGCCATAGTTTGAGTGGAGAAGGCAGGGAAAAACAGAGGAGCCTTACAGTTTAGGAAGAACAGATGGTTCACAGAGGAGACTTCTGATCCTTGTGAAAAAAAACCAACGAGGGAGAAAGTGACAACTGTAAAACAGGCTCTAGGCAAGGTCAGGCTGAGGCAAGAGGAATAGGAGCACAGGGCTTCTCTGAGGAGCTGAAGAGGCGTCACCTGCCTCCTGTCAGTGGTAGACATGGCAGACCGCTGCAGCTGGGAGATGGCATTTTATCTAGCAGCCTCCACTCTTAGGCCGAGCTGCCGGGTCACGAGTGGAGAGGAGTGAGTTAAAAGCCTGAGGTGACACAACATGAAAAGCAGGGAGCAACTTGTACGTAGAAAGTAACCCAAGCTGTATTTGAAGATGCTTGAATGCTGAAATCAGTGGCGTTCAGTGGGATTTGCATTTGTAATGGAACCAATCAGAAGTCACTAAATCAGCCCTTCTCAACCTGGAGGTCACCACCCCTTTGGCAAGCCTCTACCTCCTGTTGTAAAAAGGAAGAGTAGGCCTGCTTTTCACGCTCCCCTCCGCCCCCCCCAACTAGCTTAGCCCCGAAATAACCACATGGAAATTGTATTAATTAAGTCATTGTCTGGCCCATTAGTTCTAGCCTCTTCTTGGCTAATTCTTACATCTTGATTTAATCCATCTCCATTAAAGTGTATTGCCACTTGACTGTGGCTTACTGGCATGAGTCTAACTAGCACCCATCTCAGAGATGAGAGCCATGGCATCTGTTGGACTCTGTTTTCTTTCTCCCAGCATTCTGTTTGGTCTACTACACCTATCTAAATTCTGCCCTATCGAAAAGCTAAGGCAGTTTCTTTATTTGACCAATGAAAGCAACACATAGAAAGAAGACCCTCCTACACCAACCTCCAGAAATATTTACATCACAATTTGTAACAGTAGCAACATTACAGTTATGAAATAACAACAAAAATAATTTTATGATTGGGGGTCACCACAACTTGAGGAACCATATTAAAGGGTCACAGCACCAGGAAATCTAAGAAGCACTTCATCAGATAATATAAACTGTAAGACTGTGGTGGTAGCCCATGTTGTCTACTGAACTACATACTTACATACATTCACACATACATACTGAAACAGCTGTGCTAAGTACAATGGTGGATTTCATCAGAAGATAGAAAAATTATTATCTCTTTTCAAGGTCCTTATAGCAAGCTAAGTAAAAACTAAAACTATTGCAAACTCATGTTTAATGAGCTAATTTCCTCTCTGAAATTCCTGGAGCAGTGGCCCTGTGTGACACTACTGTGTGGTACCCAGCACCTGGCACAGTCTTGATATCAGGGACTCAGTAAAATCAGTCTTCAAAGTCATGCCTGTAAAGGGCATTTGAAATGGTCATTCCTCTGGATTTCTTGAGTCGATTTAATTTATAAACTCCCCTGAGTCTTCAACCTAAGCACTTCCATGCTGTGTGCCTACATAATAATATGATCTTCCAGGTATGTTCCATGAGGACTCAATGATTTGTCTTTAATTTTTGTTGAGTTTCTATGACCCCAAATTATATTGTTTGTTGGGTTTTGTGACCACAAAATTATACTGTGTATTTGTGCTTTCCTTGGTTTGTTTTGCTTTGTTTTCTTGGTTGGTTTTTTGAGATAGGGTCTCTCTGTGTAGTGCTGGCTGCCCGGAACTTGCTCTATAGACCAGACTGGCCTCGAATTCAGAGATCCACCCACTTTTGCCTCCTGAGTGCTAGGATTAAAGGCCTGTGCTACCACTACCAGGCATGCCTGCCATGCCTTGTATATTTTGCTCAGGGATTCCTGCCTTATCTTTTAAAATCTGGATTATTGAGATGCCATGGGTCCTGTAATAGCAATGAATAAAAAGTGTATTTCTTTGCTATATAGGTCTTTTATGTATTGTTTG